TAATAACTTGATTGGAATTATAACCTTGAATTGACAGTTTGATACTTTGAAAATTTTGAGCCAGCCCTACCCCCAAGGGCTGTAGGGTGGGGCTCAAAGGAGTCAGTGTGCTAAAATTTCTTCATTTTCCTTGTTAAGAATCAGAGGTGCTAGTTTCAAATCCTTTTTAGTCTGAAATCTGTATGCTAGATATTGAGTAAGGTGGTTTTATTGTTTTTTGTCACTTTGAATAATATTTCTGTTCATGTTAAAAACAAAATCAACTCTCTGTATAAATATATCAGGTGACCGTTAAGGCCCATGGGCCTCTTGTTTTTATATATTTTCTAAATGTGAGCCAATACAGAAAGTAGAGAAAAAACAGGATATAGAAGTGAATATATGTAATAAAAAGCGATTTTTGGGACTCGCATATTTGTGTCAAGGAATCATGGTTTTTTTCTTTTGGAACTGGTAAATTTTTTGAGGACCCACTATATCTACCGGTAGTTGTGTTGATAAAAAAAAAAAATGATAGATTTTCTAAAAAAAACAACCTTTTCTTATCACAGTGTTGTCTTTTCCACAGAGAAAATTCACCTGTGCAGGTTTATAATTGTACAATTAACTCAGAAGAAGTGTTAATATTAGAATGTATTTTATTTTCTACACCATATACACATCTTTAGGTATGCATAGGTATGCACTTCAATGACGATCTGAAGAAGAATGGGCACAGCTCAGTTTTAAGTGACCTTTGCACAAAATGTTATGATTGGTTTGTTTGTGTTTAATTCAAGTCCTATAAACAGCTATGGTCACTTAAAGATGTGCCAGGTTTTGGTGGTGGAGGAAAGCTGGAGTACCCAGAAGAAAACCAACAGTCTGCGGCCAGTACCTGGTAACTATACCCCACGTACAATGTAGGCCTCAAATCTGTGACCAAGTGGTGGAGAGCTAGTGATTGTAGACAGTCATGAACAGATGCCTTAATCATTCGGCCACCGTGGCGCCTAAAACATTACGACCCCATGTAATTTACAGTATATATATATATATAGATAGATGATTGTATGTCATTTGTTTTGGATCATGAAATAACATGATCATTTGTTGATTGTAGACCCTGCGACTCTGAAATGCCCACCAGGTTGGACATGTGGCCCAGAAAATCGGGAAGGCGCCTGTAGGTGTTATCATGTGATGAAGGCACCCAGCAGCAAAGTCGACTTTGAGTCGGCTCAGAAATTCTGTGGGTTCAGCAATGCAAACCTTGTCAAGATTGAATCTCGAGAGGTGCACAACTTCATAGAAAGTAAGAATGCAAGCTGCTAAGATTTCACTGCTCTATTACGTTTGTTTTTGTGTCGCCTGCAACGCGAGGCGACATATAGTTATTACTTTGTCAGCCTTGGCGTCCTCCGAAACAAGGTTTCTTTGCGAAAACTTGAGTTCCCTTGGGTTGATTGAACTCAAACTTGGTACACATAATGCATGCCAATATATATAGTTCGGACAAGTTCGCATTTCAGAAGTTTAAGGGCATTTTTGGTGGAGTTATGCCCCTTTTATTGCCAAATAAGGGCATTATATGTATTAAATGCAAGAACATTTTTATTTTAATCCCACCTGGCCCGAAGGGCCAAGTGATCTTATCCCATGGCGCAGCGTATGGCGTCCGTCAGCTTTTTCCTTTAAAACACTACTAGTCCTGAACGGCTCAGAGGATTTTGACCAAATTTGGTCTGGAGCATCATTGGCCAAAGGGTTCTCAGTTTTGTATAAATGGAGGGTATGATCCCCCTGGGGGCAGAGGGGTGGGGCCAAATAGGAGGAAAACATGTAAATCTTTAAAAATCTTCTTCTTTTCAACCAATAGAAGGATTTTGACCAAATTTGTTTTAGAGCATCTTTGGACAACGGAGCCTCAAGTTTGTATAAACGGAGGGTGTGGCCCTCTGGGGGCATAGGGGCAGGGCCCAATAGGGGAAACAGAGGATTTTTTTTCTCCTACTATACGAGTGAAGGGATTTAAACCAAATGCAGTCTGAAGCATGCTTAGGGACAAAAGAATCAATTTTGTTTAAACTGAGGTGTGTGGACCCCTTCTTTGGGGCAGATGAGTGGGGCCCATAGGGGAAATAGAGGAAAACATTAAAGATACTTCTCCTTCTGTACCGTTGAAGGGATTTTAACCAAACTTGTTCTAGAGACTCTTTTGGCAAAGGGAATTGAATATTTATAAATGGAGGACTGTTTTGGCATATCTGTTTATGCTATATATCAAGCCAAAATACTTTTCTTACTAAAAACGCTGAGCAGGCGACACATACACTCCCGTGGAATTCTTGTTTAATACATTTTCCATCTAATATACTACCCCTCCCTCCCTGCAACAAATTTGGGGAGGGAGAGTATACTGGAATCAGCTCGTTCGTCTGTCCGCCCATCCATCTGTCTGTAGAAAAAATCTGTTTAGCTATACATTCACTCATTTTTCAATAGAATCCTTTGAAATGTTTTGTGTAGTGACAGTACCATATGTTGTTGTGCCCTTCGGTGACAGCTTTAGTAAGATTTTAATATGAAATACAACAAATTCAAACAGAAAGAACATCACACCAAAAATGCTGTGAAGTTACCAGTGTTTGTATTCTGCCTATAAGTGCTTAAAATCTTATTGGTACTGTCGGAGATCAAAAATGATGAACTAGAATAGCATGTACTTAAAGTACTGTATTCATGTACATACTACACGCTTGTACAGTATTCTGGTAGATGTTCTTTTACATTCAGAACACTGCTGTTACATGTAATTATGTTTTCAATATTTCATCTTCATTAATTCTCATAAAAGTCCCGCAAATTAAGGTTTCTCATAGAAACGATTTATCACAGCTATAGTCATGCCAGTCAAAACAGTTTCCGACATTAAGTTACAGTTATAATAAAGTCCTCTCTTTACTGTTGTGTCTCATCTTCCTTATTCTCTGTCACTGATGAAATGCGATAATTTTCGATTGCAAGTAATTTAAACGTTATTATAAACAACTGAAATATGTTTTTGGGCAACATTTCCTTAAAAAAATGCAAGATACATTTATGCATTTTTTTCGGCCTTGTAGGATTAGTCTTTCAATCGAATGGGGTGACCGAGTTTTGGATTGGTTTGAATGATATAGAACAGGAGGGATTGTTTGAATGGATAGACCGTAGTCCATTGTCTTATGACCAACGGTAAGAATTCTGTAACGCATTAATCTACATTTAAATATATCGCATTCATCAGAATGCATAGACATAATTACAAGTCCAGTCAAACGTCAATGTTTTGAATTTATAGGATCATGGTAAAAAATTGAAACATCAAGACTTTTGAGTCACAAATGTTGAACTTCAAACATCATGTATGTACATATATGTATGTTCTGCATGAGATCGAATGTGATTATAAAATGTAGGAACACAAAGGGAGATATACATGAGAAATTTTAATATTAGAAGTTTGTTCTATGGATGTTTGACTGTATAAAGGGATTTTTTTTAATTTTTTTTTAATTTGCAACACACCTGTATATTTCTCAAATTAACAGAAGAAAAGAAAACAGTGCAACAGATAATTGTGTCATTCAGGAAGTAGCCACAGGATCGTGGGTTACTGTGCCGTGTGAGGAAAGACACTTTTATGTTTGTGAAATGTTTTCAAGTAAGTAAACAGTTTTGGTATTGGTTTGATTTTGTTTAACATCCTGTTAACAGCTAAGGTCATTTGAGGATGTGCATCAATTTTTGTAATGTATGTGTGCTTGTGTGTATGTGTGCTGGAGACAGTTATAAATTACTATAAATGCAAACGCTGTCGGTAGGGGAAGCAGGGATGTTGCTATCAAGAAAGAAAAAGTTCATGATCGGAAAGTCGAAATGGTAGACTTAAATTGAACTTTACATGCATGTTACAATGAATAGCCATGTCAAGGTAAAAAAAAGGAGGTATCACCAATTGAACAGAAGTATGCAAGAGGTGAATTAATTGGCCATCCAATACCTTGTCGCTGATGTTAATATATATTTATATATACACATGATTAATAGTTTCAATAAACTTTTTCCATCTTTTAAGTGAAGGGAGTAATGCATTTTGAGAACAATAAAGGAGAAATCCGTTTGAAAATATGCTTACCATAACTATTTAATCTTATCATTATTTTGTTGTTTGCAGTCTATGATACAAGCGTCTACCTAGTTCCAGAACGCGCTCTAACCCCTGAACGTAAGAAACTATTAATTATCTACTGTAACTTTATCTCCTTATATTCCGTGATTATCTCCACAAACATAATCAATATAAATTTGTTTATTTTCCATTTTCTCAAAAAAGTGTAATATGCACTTATACTTTTATAAAAGAAAAGCAGATTTCAACGAGATCCTTGATTTTCTCCTGTCGTATGTGTTCTATCATTTCCTGTTGAGATTCAAATGTGAAATACAGCATCCTTGGTCATCTGGTCAAGTGCTTATAAGGATCGCTGTCCCACTGTACTGTAACATGTAATATGGGCATACCTCACAATTGCAACGAAGCCACTTCAATAATTATAATAAAAAATAATAAAAAAAATCTGTTTAATGTCAAATTTATGTGTATGCTGAAAGTTTCAAGACATCAGTTCTATTAATAATGTACCATTAATGTTTTGTGTTAATGTTTTCAGAGGTGGATGAATTTATGAACGTTATGAAAGTATTGGCCTGTGTCGGGGGTGCTATACTCATGGTTATCATTTGCTGCTGCTACTGCTGCTGTTGTCGAAAATCCAGTACAAACAAAAATAACCAGCCGACAGGTCAAACTCAGAACACAGCTGGAGAACAAGCCATACCACTTGCCAACAGTCCTCCACCTGCAGTAGAACCTACAGCGCCCCCTTTGAGTGAGTTCCAGCCAATGGCAGCGCAGGGCTATCATGGGAAATCTGATGGTCTCCCGTCGTACGAGGAGGTAAGCTGCCTATATAGTCTTCAACTTTATATTCCCAAATATCAAGTAATGTTTCGTCAATTTTGTTAAGGACTAAATCTATCACCAGAATTTTACAATACACAGATTGTATAATTAAAACCATGACACCAATTATTGAATTTTTGAACAATCATTTATGTAAAGAAAACTGTAACTTACGGTACTTTTATGAGAAGAAATAAAAAAAAAATAAACAAAACAACAGTGTTTTGAATTTAAAAACAATCAGCAGGTCTAGACTGGGATACAAACCCTGGACTTAGTTGAGACTCGTTTACATCGCTCTAGCCGATTCAGCTACTTTGACAAAAGAAGTGTCCTTGCCTAACTGTGCTACAGTTATATCCAAACAGAAGTTAAGGGGAGATAACTGTTTATAGGGAAAATAGCAGTGCAGTGGGACAGGGATTTATTCTAATAGTTAAAAAAAACACCACAAATTTGCATGTTCCCATAAATTTGCATGTCTTCATTGAAGCAAATGTTAGTCTGTAATCTAGGGGAGATAACTCCAATTTAAGGACTACAAAAAGAGCCGCAGTACATGATGTAAATCAGTGTTTTTTGGGGGGTTTTTGTTGCGGAAAACATATGAGTAGAGGCTTATTTTCACATAACTTCTAAGTTGATATTGCCTACTTCGTGATTGTTTCTCCAATGCCCATTGTATCATATCATGTATCAAATCCCATTTTCAGTGTATGGGACTCCCGGCAGCGGCACAGTAGAAGACAGTTCAAAGGAGAAGGTGTATGAAAGCCAGCCCCAGTGCCAAGGAATTCAGGTCTAACGAAAGATAACATAAAAGCAACCCATATATATAGTACCATGGAAAACAGATCCAAGGAAAGATGTATTACAGTATGGAGTAATCCCGGAGTATGTACCATCGTATGGCACTATCACTATATAACTCTACCACATTCTGATGGCATTCATTTAGGCTATGAATGCCATGTGCTGAATATATGGCGTCCTTATTATCATGACGTCATGATTTTTACGTGAGCTGGATACCACCGACCCTCCTTGGACAGAGGGCTGTTGTAATAACTGAACAAGCTTATATGGTAAATCACTTGACCCAAATGCATAATATTATTAAGTGTAATTTCTATGAGATGAACAGATTTGAAAAATGGTAAATAAAGGTATTGAACTGCTTTCAGCTGGAATTCAAAGGCGATATGAATGCCAACTGGACAAAGGCAAATCCAACATGCAGCACTAGCGTGCTTCATTGTGTTTGCCTTTTTCCAGTTGGCATTCATATTGCCTATGAATACCGAATGAAAACAGTTCAATGCTGAATGATAACCTGTATAATTTATATGAGCTGCATTGTCGTTCTATCCAAGACTGTGAAGTCAATATGTTAACTCCAGGAATTTTCTCTGGAATAATGTTTCATAATAGCATGTGTTTGTGATAAAAGCAGCCAATTTTTTTCCTATTTTGGATGTTTTGTTTACCCTTTATTTTTGAAGTCACAAGATATTCCTTATGTCCCACTTCTTGTTCATATAATGTTTGTTTTGCATTTAACTATCATGGCATTTTCTGTTATTATCATTTTTCAGTGAGATCTTTGTAAATACAAGTTCCTTTTAAAATAGTTCGTACATTTTGCCACATATATATATTTTGTCCTTATTGAAGAAAAAAAATGAAGGTTTAGAAGTATCAGTAATGCATCCATTTTTGTGTATATTTCTATTGTTAATCATGTGTAATTCAATTGTCCAAAATACTGTTCCAAATGACAGAGAGGTATTTCCGATTTTCGGACATTTTTTAAGTGTAGGCAGACACCATTGTCTTTTAGGTAGCATATATTCTTAATACAATAGTGATATCTCAGGAATTGCATCTTCTACTTAATATGGAATATTTTTTCTCTGATCTTTTATATCCATTCCTGGTGTTTGAACAGGCTTTTTTTAAATATATACAAAAAATATTGCATATATTTATGTTAATTTCTGTTGTTTTGTAAGATTGTTGACGACCTTAATTTAAATGTACCAAAGTGTTTTCATGATAGAGACTTAAAATTGTTTTCCTAAGCATCTCATGGACAAGCAATCCTTCATGTACGTGCTGTGATTATTTGAAACTTATGTACATAAGTGTGGTTTATGAACTAAGACAAGTCTACCATTTCACACGCAGGCGCAAGGCAGTTAGGTCAGCTATGGTCAGTTTCAGCCACGTAGCGTACTGTTATCAGTACTTGCAACTGAGTTACCACACTATCAAGTTATATATCTGTGGTGTTAAACATACTTGTCTTCAATTCAATGATCGGCCAAATATATCTACAAGCACCGAGTGGTCTCCTCGTCCTACAGCTGTGCTTAATGGAGTAAAACGCGCACAAGGAGGTCCCATGAAAACAAGACTTCCTGTTACCATAGACATATTGGTTAGTCTGTGTGCGAGATGGAGGAGAGGTCTGTTTGGGGTAGCTACAGATCTCCTTTTAGAAACAGCTTGTACAACAGCCTTTTTCGGGTTTCTTAGATGTGGCGAATTTACATGTACAAATAAATTTGACCCGAGAACAAACTTGTGTGTGGAAGACTTGACCATTAATGATGATCACTTAATTCTCAACCTGAAGTCGTCTAAAACCGATCCGTTTCGAAAAGGTGTGTCGGTGTACTTATTCAAAAACAGCAAAGATGTGTGTGCATACAAAAGCATGATTAAATATGTTCAAGCTCGTGATATCAAAAGTGTTTCAGGCAAAAGTGCACTGTTAGTGACACAGGATAGAGTAGCGCTTTGTAGGAAGGTGTTCATAGACTATCTTAAGCGTTCACTTACAGAGATAGGCTTAAACTCAGAACTGTATAATGGACACTCCTTCCGCATTGGAGCAGCTACATCAGCAGCTTCATGTAACGTTCAGGATCACTTAATAAAGACACTTGGTAGATGGTCCTCTGACACTTACTGTCGATACATCAAAACGCCAAAAAGTACTTTGAGAAAAGCTCAGATAGCGATGGCATTGACAACAAGTGAAAACAATTCTGTCTAATGCTAGACTTCAATAAGACTTGCAAATTCATTTGGTTATAGATAATCATAACACATTATCAAGGTAGAGGTATATTACATACTGATAAACATAGTCATGTATGAATTGTTTTTTCTGTTTTTGTTTTCGTGACATACATGTACATTTTATACATATGTGTGCGATATATTGGGTAACATGTATGTACCTACTACGTTTGTTTTGTTTATTTAAAATTTTGCTTTTTGTTTTTGTGACTTACATGTACATATCAACTTTATACAGAGCAGAATTTTGCATTTAGTCCCAGTGAAATTAGCATCAAGTTATAATTAATATGTAGCAAAGGTAACTGCATTTACCGCTTGTAAAAAAAATAAAAAAAAATAAAAAAAAATAAAATAAAATAAAAAATAAAATAAAAAATGATCAATAGTGGCTGCAGTTAACAGGACCACATACAGTAGGTATTGTCTTATTAGTGAGTAACAGGTACCTCAGATCTCGGGGAGTAACCGATGTAACTCCAACCACTCAGCAGCTGGACGCAGCGTAACAGGTAACCGCTGTTACCTCCTATCTTGAAGCACTAGTAACCATGGTTACCTTCAGTGAGCAACCGCTGTTACTTCACAACCCACTAAGCAGCATGTAACGTAAGTAGTACAGGTAACCGCTGTTACTTTCAGTATTAGCACTGGTAACCGCAGTTACCTCATTCGAGTAACCGCTGTTACTCTACAACCCTGGGAAGGATGATAAATATATACATGTAAGTAGTACAGGTAACCGCTGTTACCTTCAGTATTAGCACTAGTAGCCGAAGTTACCTCCAGCGAGTAACCGCTGTTACTCCACAACCACTCAGCAGCATGTTGAATGTAAGTAAGGTAACCGCAGTTACCTCCAGTAATTTTAAGAAGCACTGGTAACANTTACATAAGTAAACAGGTAAACGCAGTATAGGAAGCCTAAGCAGTGATTGTGTTTGTACATGTATAGTATATGTTATTGGATATGCAGGTGTATCGTTTGGTAGATGAGTGGGAAATAGCTAAAGTCGGAGAGAGAGTATACAGAAATTGACAGTGCAATGATGTCTATGAATACATGAATGCGAGAAAGAACAAGAGGGGATGCGATTTGTTGTAATCACCGACATGTAGCTACTATGTTAATGCCTAATTTTGCATCGCCTGATCTGGTCAAGTGGTATGTAGATATATTCTTAGCTATATGTAGTACATATGTATATATATATAGTTATCTTGTAATAAGATAGTGATGTTAATAACGTTTATAAATTTGTTTTATATTATCTTCTTGGGGGTATTCAGCTGTGGTACATCTTCATTTGGGCAGTTACTCATTTTGTAATTCGTAATCCCCCAAGAATTTTATTCCGGGGTACATATATGTTTCTTTCATACATTGCCCAGTCAACAGCTATAATACAGCTGGCCGGGTACATACATGAAAGTATTATTAGTAGTATCACAGCTGTTATATCCCCTTAGCCCATATATGTAGGTAAAATGTTTTCGTAATAAATTATTATTTGCTTATAATCTCAATCTGCCTTTGAGTCTTTTGTTCATAAATTGAAACTTATGTACATAAGTGTGGTTTATGAACTAAGACAAGTCTACCATTTCACACGCAGGCGCAAGGCAGTTAGGTCAGCTATGGTCAGTTTCAGCCACGTGACACGGTGGTCAAGTACAGTCAGTGATTGGTCAGTTTAGTCACGTGACTCAGTCTTTGTTTTGGGTCAGTTTCAGCAGCCTGTTTGCAGAAGATTTGTGTGTCTGAATATTTCGTGACCCACCGCCCTCCCCAACCAACCAACCACAAGACTATTTCAGGTGATGCCTGGGGATATAATGGCTGTTTATAATAAGGCATTTATGTGAGTAAACACTTGCCAGCTGTTTCCGAGCATGGAAAATCACACCTCCCCCTTCCATTAAGGAAGTTAGGGATGGTGGCCCGCTCTGCAGCAAGTTCCTTTAAACATTCTATTCTTTAAACTTGTTTCGAAGGGGCAGTTACTCATTTTGTAATTCGTAATCCCCCAAGAATTTTATTCCGGGGTACATATATGTTTCTTTCATACATTGCCCAGTCAACAGCTATAATACAGCTGGCCGGGTACATACATGAAAGTATTATTAGTAGTATCACAGCTGTTATATCCCCTTAGCCCATATATGTAGGTAAAATGTTTTCGTAATAAATTATTATTTGCTTATAATCTCAATCTGCCTTTGAGTCTTTTGTTCATAAACAATCGTATGTCCTCATTTAGGTCTGTCAAACATTTGTTTTTTCTGCACAATACATTATTAGTTTCAAACCTGAGGCCAAGAAAGTTAAATTCTGGCCAGATTTCTTGCATTTTTGATTGCAATCTGATTGGTTGATTCAAATGAAATTTTGTTTTTGTATTTATCATCTGAAGGCAGTGGAGCTGGTGTTAACTAGTGCTTTCTTGCCCAAATTACGACTTAACTTTCATGCTTTTTATGTGCTCCCTTGTGAGGCCAAAGGTAAACTTAATTATTTTTTATGTAGATGACACAGCTAATCTCTATGCTGCGGTCAGGTACAACTCAAGCTCTTTTATTGCATGGTGGCGGGCACCATTAGTATCACTGTTCCCTAAGCTTCAGATTGCTTCTAAAGGGACACATGTTGCTTTGTCTTTATTAAGTTATTGTTATTTTTACAGGGTGCTTCACCTTGGTTGTTGAAGATGTTGCTATAATCATTTTGATATTAATTACTTAGCTGTTATAATGTAAATGTCAATAATAATATGAGTTTTTTAGGTCACCTGAGACAAAGTCTCAAGTGACCTATTGCGATCGCCTTTTGTCCGTCGTCGTCCGTCGTGCGTCCGTAAACAATTTACATTTTCGACTTCTTCTCCAAAACCCCTGAACCAATTTCAATGAAATTTTGCAGGAACCTTCCATGGACAAAGGTCAACAAAAATAGTGGCCGGTTTAGTCCCAAGCCCCCAGGGGCCTGAGGGGCGGGGCCAAAAAGGGTCAAATTGACTAAAATTTCAAAAATCTTCTCCTCAAGACCCAGATATGGTAGAATCAAATACTCTTCATAGATGGAAGGGTCTTAAGGTGCTTTACCAAAATTGTGAATTTCATGACCCTGGGGTCTCACGTTTCCCCCTGGGGAGGGGGTAAACTTTACTATAGTTTATATAGGGAAATCACATTTTGGACCAACATTTGTTTAATTTCCATTGGAAGTAATTCAATTTGGGTTAGCATTATCAGTATTAGGTAGCAGTTTGATAGTATGCACATATCAGCCCTGACTGACCCCCCGGGGTTGATGGGTGGGGCCAAAAAGTGTTGAATTGACTGAAATTTCAAAAATCGTCTTCTCAAGAGCAAGATATGGTAGAATCAAACACTCTCCATAGATGGAAGGGTCTTAGTCTTAAGGTTTATGACCCTAGGGTCTCAGGTTTACACCCTGGGGAAGGAAGGGTGGGGAGGGTGGGCGGCAAAATTTATTATGGTTTATAATGGCAAATGATACTTTGAATATTACATGTTAATAACTTGATTGGAATTATAACCTTGAGTTGACAGTTTGGTACTTTGAAAATTTTGAGCCAGCCCTTACCCCCAAGGGCTGTAGGGTGGGGCCCAAAGGTGTCAGTGTGCTAAAATTTCTTCATTTTCCTTGTTTAGAATCAGAGGTGCTAGTTTCAAATACTTTTTAGTCTGAAATCTGTATGCTAGATATTGAATAAGGTGGTTTTATTGTTTTTTGTCACTTAGAATAATATTTCTGTACATGTTAAAAACAAAATCAACTCTCTGTATAAATATATCAGGTGACCGTTAAGGCCCATGGGCCTCTTGGTTTTTTTTAGGTTCAAATATTTTTCTTCCTCAGCAAATGTTTGAGGTATGAGTATATCTGTTGTAGAATTATTTTTATCATGAAATAAATGTTTATTATTTGTTTTATTTTATTTTTAAATTAATGTGTTCATGTCCAAGTCTTCTGAAAACAGAAACCCTTTTTTTAAATTGATTGTTTTTTTATTTGTGTGAATTAAAGAAGTTATGCTGTTTTACTACCATGAGCAGTACCCA